ATTTAGTGGGCGTGAAGTGGAATCTCATTGTGGTTCTAATCTGCATTTCCCTACCGAGTAAAGATGTTGAGCATCTTTTAATATGCTTACTGACTACATGTATGTCTTTCATTCTGTTGACAAATATCTAGTCAAACCTTTTGCTCATTTTTAATTGGGTTATTTATCTTTTCATTATTGAATTGTCAAAGCGCTTTACATATATTTATTTATTTATTTATTTATTTATTTATTTATTTATTTATATAGCATGAGTGGGGGAGGGGCAAAGGGAGAGGGAGGCTCCACACCCAGCCTGGAGCCCGACGTAGGGCTCCATTTCACGACCATGAGAGCATGACTTGAGCCAAAATCGAGACTCAGGCTTAACCGACTGAGCCACCTGGGTGCCCCCCTTTACATATTTTGGATATAAGTCCCCTGTATGATGTATGTGATTTGCAAGTATTTTCTTCCATTCTTTGGGCTCTCTTCATTTTCCTTTGAAGCACAACAGTTTTAAATTCTGTTCAAGTCCCATTCAATTTTAATTTTGTCGCTTTATTCTTTTGGTGTCATATCTAAGAAACCATTGCTTAATACCCAAGGACACAAACCCAAGGTCACAAAGATGTACGCCTGTGTTTTCTTATAATTTTGTAGTTTTCATTCTTATATTTAGGTCTATGATCTATTTTTTAATGTTTATTTATTTTTATGAGAGAGAGGGACGGAGTGTGAGTTGGGGAAGGGCAGAGAGAGAGGGAGACACAGAATCCGAAGCAGGCTCCAGGCTCCGAGCTCTCAGCACAGAGTCCGACGAGGGGCTTGAACTCACGAGCCACGAGATCATGACCTAGGCCAAAGTCGGTGCTCAACCGACTGAGCCACCCAGGCACTCCAGAAATGCTTATTTCTGGACTGCCAATTCTATTCTACTGATCTGCATGTCTATCCCTGTGGGACTACCATACTCTCTTTATTACTGTAACTTTGTAATAGGTTTTGAAATTGGGAACTGTGTGTACCCTAATATCTTCTCCTTTTTCAAAACTGGTTTTGCTACTCCTGGTCCCTTGCATTTTCAAATGAGTTTTAGGGTCAGCTTGCCCATTTGTGCAAAAACTGCAACTGGGATGCTGATAGGGAACACACCGAATCCAGATCAATTTGGAAAGCACTCTGCCATCTTAACAGTACTAAGTCTCCCGACTCACCAACATGAGGTGTCTTTCCATTTATTTAGATCTTCAATTTTTTTTTTAAACAATGTTCTACAGTTTTGGCATACAGGCATACCTCATTTTATTGCACTTTCCAGATACTGCATTTTTTACAAATTGACGGTTTGTGGCAACCCTGCATTGAGAAAGTCCATCGGCGTCATTTTGCAAACAGTATTTGCTCACTTTGGGTCTCTGTTTCACATTTTGATAATTCTTGTAACGTTTCAAGCTTTTTCATTATTATATTTGTTATGATGATCTGTAACCAGTGATTATGACTTGCCGAAAGCTCAGATGACGGCTACCATTTTTTAGCAATAAAGGATTTTTAAATTAAGGCATGAACATTATTTGTCTAGGCATAATGCTATTGCATACTTAACGGACTACAGGGTAGTGTACTCGTGACTTGTACATGCACTCAGAAACCAAAAACTTCATTTGACTCGCTTTATCGCAATATTCACTGTATTACAGCAGTCTGGAATTGAACCTGCAAAGCTTCCACTTCTTCTGTTGAATTTATTCGTAAGGGTCTTCCTTTAGATAGTATTACAAATGTAAATGCCTTCCTAATTTTGTTTTTGCATTGTTCAATGCAAATGTATGGACGTACAAGTGACTTTTGTATACGTATCTTGTATCTTGCAACCTTGCTGAACTTGTTTATTAGTTCTAAGATTATTTTTTATACCTTAGGATTATCGGTATATAAAAATCAGATCTTCTGCAAGTAGAAATAGTTTTACTTCCTTTCCAGTATGGCTACCTTTTATTTCTTTTGCTTCCCTAATTGTCCTGTCTAGAACCTTTTGTGGCAAAAGTGGACATCTGTGTCTTATCCGTGATCTTGGGGGAAAGCATCCAGTTTTTCACCATTGAGTATGAACAAGCTGTAGGATTTCCTTGGGTGCCTTTTATCGTGCTCAGGAAATTTCCTTCGATTCCTAGTTTGTGGAGAGTTTTTAACATGAAAGGGTGTCGAATTTGGTCAAATGCCATTTCTTTGTTAACTAAGATGATTGTGTCATTTTCGTCCTTTATTCTATTAATCTGGTGAATTATACTGATTGATTTTCATTCATTGAACCAGTCTTGTTTTCCTGGGATAAATCCCATTTGGTTATGGTATACAGTCTCTTCTAGATCTTGCTAGATTCAGTTTGCTAGTGTTTTGCTGAGGGTTTTTGTCTTTATATTCATCAAGGACATCACTCAGTAGTTTTCTTTTCTTGTGATATCTTTGTCTGATATTAGTATCAAGGTACCAGTGGGTCTTCATATAAGGACTGGCCTTATAGAATGAGTTGGGAAGTATTCCCTCCTATTGTTTTTTTGGAAGAGCTTGTGGAGAACTGGTATTAATTCTTCTTTAAGTGTTTGGTAGAATTCATCAGTGAAGACATCTGGGTGTGGGTTTTTCTTTGCTCCCCTTCATGTCTGTGCAATCAGTGGCTAGCAAAGGCCTGGCTGGGTGTCGGGCACCTGGTGATAAGTGTGGACTAACATGGAACAACAAGCCTTTCTATTTCCCTAGGACCTTGATGCACTCACCAGAGTCACAAAGTAAGGTTAAACCCCTCCTCTGCAGTGGGAGTCACAAAGTAAGGTTAAACCCCTCCTCTGCAGTGGGAAGGAAAGTGCACCCCTGGCCTTGGGGTGGCGGGGGGGGACATGCTCACCGTCATCCAGGATGACCAGCAGTGGAGCCAGGAGGTCACACATGCCCTGGACATAGCCGATCTCAATGTGCTGCCAGATGTAGCTACAAGAGAGAGACGATGGGCCTGAGGATGGCACTTACGACCTCTGTCTCTCCAACCCCCCCGTCCTCTTCCTCCTTTCTGCCACAGCCCCCCATTCCTACCTGGACCGCTCACTCCCTCGGCTCCTGCCTCCACCCCTTCCCCAGTCCCACTCTCTTCAAACATCCTATTCTCAGCCACCAGGATGGCCTTCCTAAAGCCCAGCTCCAAGAGGCCACCACATCCTCACAGGCTGCCCACTGCGAGACAACGTGCAAACGCCTTCCCTGGGCGTGTAAGGCACTCACTGTCTTCGCCGCATCTTCACAGCCCCACCATCGTCTCCCAGTACTTCTTCCTTTCGGGCACACACTCACACCCCGGTGCCTGGCCCTAGCACTTCTGTGCCTGGAGTTCCCATCTGCCCTTGAATAACAGTAACTACCGTTTACTGGGCATGTACTGTATGCTCAGCCACTAAACATATACTGCGCCACGAAATTCTCAAAATAATCACACGCAGAAGGTCCTGGCATATCCCATTTCACAGATGAGGAGACTGAGGTGCAGAGAGCTAGGCGACATGCGTAGTGTCATACACCCAAGAATACATGGCAAGGGCAGGATCTGAGCCCAGGTGGCCTTACCACAGGGTACGTGTATGCCGGGTGGTTTGTTCAGTCTCTCCTAATTTTGCCAAGGGCCATCTTGCATGTCCCCGCCTGTGTGGGCTTCCACACTTTTTCCCAAGGCCATAACCCAGCAAAAGCCGGTCTATCCTTCCTTCTCCCCCAGCACCTTCTCATTTTAATGTAACATATATTAGACTTCATTATATTTGTGTCTTGTGCTCCCTTCGGCAGCACATACACTGAAACTATATTTGTGTCTCCTCAACTCAATCTTGAGAGGCAGTGATTGATTGCTTGGGAGACTGTAAGACAGAATAGTTACGAGGTAGTACTTGTTAATAAAAATGAGTTAGAGCAGGGGTTGGCAAACCTTTCCTGGGAGGTCCAGATGATAATTAGCTTCGTCTTTGCAGGCCTAGGTTCTGTCTCAACTACTCAACTCTGCAGAAGCAATCATAGATACTATGCAAACAAACAGGCATGGCTGAGTTCTAAGAAAACTGTATTTGCAAAAACAGGTGGTGGGGCTGGATTTGGCCTGTGGGCTGTGCTAGCAGGTCTTTTTTTTTAATGTTTATTTATTTTTGACAGAGAGAGAGAAGAGCGAGTGAGAGCCAGAGAGCCAGAGGGCCAGAGGGCCAGAGGGGAGGGGCAGAGAGGGAACAGAGGATCTGAAGCAGGCTCTGTGCTGACAGCACAGAGCCCGACATGGGGCTCAAACCCACAAAATGTAAGATCATGACCTGAGCCAAAGTTGGACACTTAACCGACTGAGCCCCCCAGGTGCCCCCATACTAGTAGTTTCTGAACCCCTGAGTTAGAGTAGTATGGAAAGACATCCAGGATGCATTTTTTTTTCATTTTACTTGA